AAACTCACACCCCAGAAGTGACTCGAACCCATACTCCCACAACTGGTATGTACAGGGACGCCTTAATCCGCTTGACCATCACGACCGGACATAAGGAAGTGATAGCCGAGGCTATATGAACCACTTCCCCGCCGGCACTCGGATGGTAATCTTGGGCATAGCATTTTATCAAATCACCTCATTCTTTGGGGCACACGTGAGGAACACAAATGCAAACAAGCCTGAATGGTCCCCAGGACTATATACAACTGAAAACTCACACCCCAGAAGTGACTCGAACCCATACTCCCACAACTGGTATGTACAGGGACGCCTTAATCCGCTTGACCATCACGACCGGACATAAGGAAGTGATAGCCGAGGCTATATGAACCACTTCCCCGCCGGCACTCGGATGGTAATCTTGGGCATAGCATTTTATCAAATCACCTCATTGATTTTGTGTTCCTCACGTGTGCCCCAAAGAATGAGGTGATTTGATAAAATGCTATGCCCAAGATTACCATCCGAGTGCCGGCGGGGAAGTGGTTCATATAGCCTCGGCTATCACTTCCTTATGTCCGGTCGTGATGGTCAAGCGGATTAAGGCGTCCCTGTACATACCAGTTGTGGGAGTATGGGTTCGAGTCACTTCTGGGGTGTGAGTTTTCAGTTGTATATAGTCCTGGGGACCATTCAGGCTTGTTTGCATTTGTGTTCCTCACGTGTGCCCCAAAGAATGAGGTGATTTGATAAAATGCTATGCCCAAGATTACCATCCGAGTGCCGGCGGGGAAGTGGTTCATATAGCCTCGGCTATCACTTCCTTATGTCCGGTCGTGATGGTCAAGCGGATTAAGGCGTCCCTGTACATACCAGTTGTGGGAGTATGGGTTCGAGTCACTTCTGGGGTGTGAGTTTTCAGTTGTATATAGTCCTGGGGACCATTCAGGCTTGTTTGCATTTGTGTTCCTCACGTGTGCCCCAAAGAATGAGGTGATTTGATAAAATGCTATGCCCAAGATTACCATCCGAGTGCCGGCGGGGAAGTGGTTCATATAGCCTCGGCTATCACTTCCTTATGTCCGGTCGTGATGGTCAAGCGGATTAAGGCGTCCCTGTACATACCAGTTGTGGGAGTATGGGTTCGAGTCACTTCTGGGGTGTGAGTTTTCAGTTGTATATAGCCCTGGGGACCATTCAGGCTTGTTTGCATTTGTGTTCCTCACGTGTGCCCCAAAGAATGAGGTGATTTGATAAAATGCTATGCCCAAGATTACCATCCGAGTGCCGGCGGGGAAGTGGTTCATATAGCCTCGGCTATCACTTCCTTATGTCCGGTCGTGATGGTCAAGCGGATTAAGGCGTCCCTGTACATACCAGTTGTGGGAGTATGGGTTCGAGTCACTTCTGGGGTGTGAGTTTTCAGTTGTATATAGTCCTGGGGACCATTCAGGCTTGTTTGCATTTGTGTTCCTCACGTGTGCCCCAAAGAATGAGGTGATTTGATAAAATGCTATGCCCAAGATTACCATCCGAGTGCCGGCGGGGAAGTGGTTCATATAGCCTCGGCTATCACTTCCTTATGTCCGGTCGTGATGGTCAAGCGGATTAAGGCGTCCCTGTACATACCAGTTGTGGGAGTATGGGTTCGAGTCACTTCTGGGGTGTGAGTTTTCAGTTGTATATAGTCCTGGGGACCATTCAGGCTTGTTTGCATATATATATATATATAGAGAGAGAGAGAGAGAGAGAGAGAGAGAGAGAGAGAGAGAGAGAGAGAGAGAGGAGAGAGAGAGAAAGAGAGAGAGAGAGGAGAGAGAGAGAGAGGAGAGAGAGAGAAAGAGAGAGAGAGAGAAAGAGAACATATAACTTAGGCCCCGGGCGGCTGCATCCTGGCGTCGCTGCATTGCTGGCCCGGTGACGACACCGCCAAAGTCCTCTGCCTTCCTTGAATACTCCCCCCAAGTACTAGGAGCTGGGGCTAAGAAACCGTTACAGGACGGGCCCTTCGAGAGGAAGGCACGATGAGTGGCGGGGAGCAGGCCAAATCAATTTTTGAATACCTTAAGGGATAAACGTAACAAGGATAACGACAATGGGCCACAGATTAGAATGTTTAAAATAGCCAAATTTAATACAAGAAAATACGTAATAATCCAATACTATAAAATCACAAAGTTATTACCAAATAATACAAAACTTGGGAGCTGGTAAGGCAATGCCGTTCAGCTCATAATAAAAATTACAGGACTGTAACCATGATGATGTAAATTGACAATAATAATTTAGTACATAAGAAGTAACGACAATAAGCCACAGGGAGTAAAGTGTGGTTATTAAGTATAAAGTCAAACTGAAACAGTCTAAACTCAAAGTTAGGACTGGATAATAACTGGAGACAGGGTTACTATTTATAATCAATAAACAGTGCAAAACAAATATAACGTGAAGGTTCACACTAAGAAGAATGTAAAATAGACATAAGCACTAGAAGGATAAGGGTAAGCACAAATACTCCTTCCATAGACTAGGGTGCAGGACCGTTAGCCCACAAACAGGGTGGGCCCGCCCAGCTAAGGAGCTCAACTGGGGTCCCGGCTAAGGGCGTAACAGACTGGCCCAGCTAAGGGGCCTGGGACGGGCCCGGCTGAGGGGCATGATTGACGTGCCCAGCCAAGGGCAGCAACTACGGATGCCTTTGGCTAAGGCAAAGGCAGGACTGCAAAAAGTGCCTCACAAAAGAGCTGGTAAGGCAGTAAATAAAGTGAAAGTAATAATATAGTACGAGAACTAATGCCGCCAGCATAGCACTCATTACCATAAAGAATGTAAGGAGCAGACTGTAATAACTTCGGTCTAACAACGTAACGTCAGTACGTGTATTCCGAGTTTAGCGGCTGAAAGTACTACCCAATGATTACATAATAGGTAAGCAGTAAATCAGTAGACAAGAATAAAAGGGGAAAACGGGTGAACAAAATTGCCACTGTAGTGCCTAAGCCGCAAAGGAATTTGCGCCCAATGGTGCAACGGAGCTGATCCGTAAAAGAATTAATACTGAACTGAAAAATACTAAAGGCCGAAGCATGTCACACGGGTCGGAGAGGAGTGGAGAATGAGCTCTACCCCAAAGGCAGGAAGAGCCAGAGAAAAGTATCACCTGGGTGAAATAAACAGCACGTAAACCAAAACTGCCAAGAGCCTTAATCAAGCAATACCGTAAATGGTAAGGAGGTGAAAGCGGGAGAAAAAATATTGAATACAACATATAACACAGCCGCACAAGATGCGCTGTGCCACCGGATTTGCACCTGAATACCTGAATAACCCAAGGTCAAAGCGCCACCAAGGCAGGCTAAAGAGACTTGAAACTCTGGAAGAAAGAGCGAAACTTCTTCCAAGCAGGAGGGCTGGGACTGAAAGGCCAGAGACGGACGGGCCCCCCAGGAGCAGGCACTAAAAGTGGCAGGGAGCAATACTGATCGAATCAGTAATACAATATACTAGAAGAGCAGTAACAAAACCAGCAGTGGGCCGCAGAAGCATATGAAGGTAGCCAAAAAATATGTGAAGTGTGAAAAGCAGGCCTGCAAATTCACAAGGCAAGACAAGTATCGACTTCGTTGCTGGTAAGGCTACTGCCGAATAAAGATGTAGCACATAAGAAATAACACTGCTCTGTAGCCGTAAATATGAGTTAGAATTAAATATATAAATATAGTACAGTGGAACCTCTATTAACGAGTTTAAAACGTTCTGGCACCGAGCTCGTTACCTGGAAAACTCGTCTTAAGAAACAAATTTCCCTATTTAAAATAAAGGATATAAATTTAATCCACTCCACTCCCAAAAATATCCATACTTGTATGACATGTTTTATGTCAATATAATACTGCACATGTAATTATAAATAATTTGTTGTACTGTTTTAATGTTTACTTTACCTTATGAAGAGTCGTTGCTGGCTTGAGGGAGACGATGGGGAGGTGGGGAGGAGGAGAGGGGTTATGGTGTGGAAGGAGAATTCACCTCTGAGTCAGGCGGGCTCTCTCTTCTTGGGATTTTCACCCCACTGGGACCGGGTTGTGGTTCACTATCACTGGCTCTTCTTTTCTCTACTTTTGGAAAGAACCTTTCTATTGACAATTGCTTTTGTCTTTGTTTTAGGATGTCCCTAAAACGAGACAGCAAATTGTCATTAAACATGTTCACACACCGGGTTGTCACTGCTTGATCAGGGTGATGTTTTTCCTAAGAATGTGGTCACCTTTTCAAACATTCCCAACACTTCCCTGATCTCACTTAAAGAGGCAGCAGCATCCTCCCCTACCTCCTCCTTCCCTGATGAGAACTCTTGTGCCGACACCAGTAATTCCATCTATCATCATACTACCATGCAAGAGGAGCCACACATCTATGGATCATCCAATAAAATCAGCAGACTTCTAGATGTTACTACTGCTCGGCTTAGACTCGGTTACAAGTATCTCTGGGAATTCTCATTATCTGCTGATGTAGACCTGACCAAATGTAAACTGTGTCAACAAAATTATTCCCACACCCTCCGTCACTATGTGATGGAGTGCGAAAAGATACGTGAATATAGAGACAATTCTATAACCAATGTTCCAGCGATGTGTCAATATTTCATTCAAAATGATCTGCTACCAGAAATTTTAGCCAAATATCCCCAGTTTGCTAACTGTAGGTAGTAACTAAGTGATTGTAACCTATCCACCGCTGCCCACTGGATGGGGGGCGGTGTGCAGGACAAACATATAAATTTTGACACTAGCTCTCCACATATGTCAGCTGCTTAATTTAGAACCTGTACTTGAGGTCGATCTCGAACCCATTGTTGATGTGATGACTTATATTGAATTTTGTAACTAGCTCATCAAGATTGTAACTTGCTTAGCTAAATGAATTGTGGGGTTCAGTCCCTGAGCCCATTATGTGCCTCTGTAACCCTTTCCACTACCGCCCACAAGATGGGTATGGGGTGCATAATAAATTAACTAAACTAACTCCTCTTGATTAATGTCCTTCTGAAGTTCCGGGAGTTCCTCAGTGGTCAGTTCCTCACTGTGCTCCTCCACTAACTCCTGCACATCAGCAGCATCCAACTCCAGACCCAAAGTTTGCCCCAGAGCAACAATATCATCCACTAGATGCACTTCCGGGTCTTCCACAGGTGCAGATGCAGATGCAAGTGCAGGACCGAAACCTTCGAAGTCTCGCTCAGGGACACCCTCAGGCCAGAGGTTTCACCATGCAGAGTTTAGAGTTCTCCGTGTTACTCCTTCCCAGGCCTTGTCGATCAAACGTAAGGCACCCAGGATATTGAAGTGGTTCTTCCAGAATTCTTTGAGGGTCAGCCCTGTATTGTTGGTCACATCAACACACCTCTCCAACAAGGCCTTCATGTAGAGTTTCTTAAAGTTTGCAATGACTTCCTGGTCCATAGGTTGGAAGAGTGGAGTGGTATTGGGAGGAAGGAACTTGATGGCGATGAACTGATTTTCGGGATACAATTCATCTCGCATCTGTGGAGGATGTGCAGGAGCATTATCGAGCACAAGCAAGGCCTTGAGTGGCAACTGTTTCTCTTCAAGATATTTCCTCACTGAAGGGCTAAAAACATCATTGATCCATTCAGTGAAGAATATCCGCGTGACCCAGGATTTCTTATTGGACCTCCACATCACATTCAGTCGCGCCTTGAACACGCATGGATTTTCTGAGTGGTAGACTGGCAGCGGCTTGACCTTGCAATCGCCACTTGCATTGGGGCAGAGGACGAGAGTAAGCCGATCCTTCATCGGTTTGTGGCCAGGCAAAGATTGTTCCTCCTGTGTGATGCAGGTCCTCTTCATCATTTTCTTCCAAAACAGGCCAGTCTCATCACAATTAAAAACTTGTTGGGGCAAGAACTCCTTTCCAGCAACAAATTCCTGGAACTCTGGTACAAATTTCTCAGCAGCAGCTTTATCAGAGCTGGCAGCCTCCCCATGTCGCACAACACTGTGGATACCGCTTCTCTTCCTAAATTTCTCAAACCATCCACGGCTTGCCTCCTCCTCTTCAGATGACGCACCTGGTGTCTAACTGACAAGGTCCACATACAACTTCTTGGCCTTTGCACAGACAAGAGCTTCAGAGACACTATCACCATGCAATTGCCTTTCATTCATCCAGACTAGCAGTAGCTTTTCAACCTCTTCTAGGATTTGTGGACGTTTCTTGTTAACCTTGGTAACTCCTTTAGCCACATCAAGCATCTTAAATTGTTTCTTCCTCTTCAGAATAGTACAAATCGTTGATGAGGACCTGCCATACTCCCTGACGAGATCAACCACACGCACACCACGCTCGTGCTTTGCTATTATTTCCTTCTTCACTTCCACAGTAATTGTCGCTTTCTTTCCCTTGCCAACACTGTCCTTAGCAAGCAGCTTCTTTGGCGACATTGTGCGTTACAAATTGCAGTCACAAAACCACAAAAAACCAGAGAAAAGTGCAAATAAATCCAGAGGGATGCTTGTCGTGTGAGATACAACAACAACACTGGCGTCGGAGGCGTCCGAGAATTTGCGAGAACCCGCGAGACGCTAGGAAGCACCATGTGGTTTCTCTCGTTAATAGAGGCGAGCTCGTCAATAGAGACAAATTTGCTGCGAGTGGCTCGCTCGTTACTGGAAAAACTCGTTAATAGAGCCGCTCGTTAATCGAGGTTCCACTGTATATAACATCAACGGCGCACAGGGAGTAACCGCAGCAGAAGTAGTATGTCCAACTGTAAGCAATTATGCTCAAAATAAGACTGGAATAAACTGTCAATTAAAAATAGCCAAAATTAATACATGAAATTGTGTAATAATTGTGTAGTACTGCAAAATTGCAAAGTTAATACAGCACAAAGCTTAGTACTGGGAAGGCCAATGCCGCATGATAATTGTGCTCATAATAAAGAAATTGGACGTTACCCGTAATAATATGAGCAATATTAATACCATATAAAAATTAGCATCACCGGGGACTGTCATTACAGGGTAATTGATAAATCCAAGACGTGAAACATTAAATTTGTTAAATAATAAATTTAAAACATCACCGAACAGGTGCAAACGGGAAATGGCAGGAGTAAGGTCAAGCACAACATAGAAAACACTGTATAAATAGATAAATAAGAAAACATCCCACACTGGGAGGCGTAAGTAGGCAGGGGAAACCTTTACCTTAACATTAAACCAACATTAACGTAGCATGTATAACACAAACACCAATGGTCAAAAGGGGGCAAAATAAGGGATTAACATAAACAACCGTTGCCAAATGTTTAACTGCAAAATACTGCCCCAGAACATCAGCGGCTGGAACATTGCAGCTGGAACACCTGCAGCTGGACATCAGCAGCTGGAGCATCAACATCTGCTGAAGATAAATAAATAGCGGCAACTGGCCACCAGGAGAAACTTCAGTGGTAGGTAGAAGTCCAACTGCAAGATAATTTAGGCTCAAAAACTGGAATATAACTGTCATTAGACAATATCGGGAACAATATATGAAGCTGGGAAATAAAACAATAAATTACAATAAGACTGAAAAGAGAAATAAATTGATAGGCACATCAGCTGGAATGCTTCAGCTGGAGCTTCGGGAGCTAGGGCATCAGCAGCTTGAACATCAGCAGCTGGGACAGCAGTGGCTGGAACAGCAGCACCAACAGCCGGAACATCGGCTGTCGGGAATCAAAACATGAAACTGGGACGTTAGCAGCTGTAACATTGCCTGCCGAACAAGCGGCAGCTGGGAGGGTGCCAGCTGTAACGCCAGCTGGAACAGCTTCGGCAGAGCAGCCAGCTGGCACATCCACTGCAGTAACAACGCCAGCTGGGACAACGACAGCTGGGACGACGTCGTTTGGAACACCGGGAGCTGGAACACCACCAGCCGCAACCTCAGCTGCTGGAACAGCAGCAGCTGGAGCATCGACAGCCGGAACATTAACCGCTAGAACATCACCAGCGGGAACAACAATAGCAGGAGCGTCTGCAGCTGTAGCAACGGCAGCTAGAACATCGTCTGGAACATCAGCAGCTGGAACAACATCAGCTGGCCAAAGCAGCTGGGTCAGCAGCAGCTGGAACAGCATCCGCTGGACCAACCGCAGCTGGAATAACAACGGAGGGGACAGCAGCATCAGGAACAATGGCGGATGGAGCACATCAGCTGCTACAACAGCAGCTGGCACAGCATCAGCTGGTACAACAGCTGCTGGCTCATGCCCGGCTAGAACATCACGAGCTGGACACCTACAGCTGGAACATCGTCAGCCAGAACATTGAAGCAGGAACTACAGAGCTCGTCCAAAGCCTGGCCACAGCTGCTTCCGGGCTACACCGGGCAGACGAAATGTCTGGATAAATCAGCGGCATGAAAGGCCACAGTTTCTTTCAGGCTACACCGGGCAGACGAAACATCTGGAAACCAGCGGTCTGGGAGGCCGGAGTTTCTTCCGGGCTACACCGGGTAGATGAAACGTCTGGATAAAACCTTCAGCCTGGGAGTCCGCAGTTTCGACCAGGCTACACCGGGCAGACGAAACATCTGGAAAACCAGCGGCCTGGGAGGCCGCAGTTTCTTCCGGGCTACACCGGGCAAACAAAACATCTGGATAAACCAGCGGCCTAGGAGGCCGCAGTTTCTTCCGGGCTACACCATGCACACGAAAAATCTGGATAAAACCTTCCGCCTGGGAGTCCACAGCTTCTTCCGGGCTACACCAGGCAGACAAAACATCTGGATAAACCAACGGCCTAGGAGGCCGCAGTTTCTTCCAGGCTACACCGGGCAGAAGAAACGTCTGGATAACCCAGCGGCCTCAGGCCGCTGGGTTATCAGCCCCTAATAATGACCCCCCCTTGTGGGTTATCGTGCCCTTAGGGGCCTGGGCACGCCCAGGCCCCTAATGGCACCCCCAAGGCAGGAAGACCCACAGAAAGCCGGCCGCGTGGGGTGCCGCCGGCCGCGTGGGGTGCCGCCCCCACACGTGGCGGTACCCCGACAACAGGTGTAGAGGGCCCACACATGCCCGCTCCGGGCCCTCAGGCCCAACCGGGGGCCATAAAGCTCGGGGCAGCAGGGCGCCCATTGCCCCCACGTTGTCTGGGGCCAGGGCCCTAGGCAACCCAGGGCAAGCGCCCCATGGAGTGCCATGCCACGTGGGCGACGCCGACCAGGGTGCAGGCGGGCCCGGACCCATAGGGCCGGGCCCTAGGGACAGAGGACCACTGAAACCTGGCCAAGTGGCGTCATCGCCAAGGCATTGCCAGGCTGCTCACAGAGAGCCCAACTGGGCACGCACATTCAGGCACGGCACAAATCAGGGCCCCTAGGGACAGCACCTAAGGGCAAGCAAGCAACTGAGTGCCTGTCCACATGGGGCGATGCTGGCCCACAGGCGTAAGGGAACTGGCTGCCCTCCAGGGCGCGGGCGAAACAGGGCCACTAGGGACAGCCTAGGGGCAAGCAAGCCACTGAGTGCCTGGCCACGTGGGGCGATGCCAGCCCGCGGGCGTAAGGGAGCCAGACACGCCAGGGCCGCTAGGGACAGCGTCTAGGGGCAGAGGACCACTAAAAGCCTGGCCACGTGAGGCATCACCACCTGGGGCGACGCCAGCCCGCGGGCAGAACAAGCCCCACACGGGCACGCCACGACGCCCGGGCACGGCACTGAAGTAGAGGGACCGCGCCGGACAAGTCACATGGCTAGCGCCCTAGCGAGAGGCAAAAAGACCTGGAAGGAAGGTAGCTAGGGTGGCGCAACATGGACTGCCAGGGACACAGTGCTGGGCACACGCCAAACACTGGGGACATCCCTAACAGAACAGGGGGCCCCACACGCAGAGTGTGGTGGGAAAACACGGACTCCACTGTACCTTAGGACATGTTGAGTTTGTAGGCCGCCCCTGGCGGGGGCACCACTAATCCATTGGGTCATCCCTAGCAAAAGATATTCCATCTTCCAGTACTGATGTTCAGGACTATTTTACAGGCAACTATCCACAGTCTCTGTACCTAACGCCTGCAAATTCCTCTTATGTTAATGAGATAATCCTTTCCCTTAAAACCAAGTCTAGTGCCCTTGAGGAGATACCAACTCTTATTTACAAAAAAAGCTTCCAGATTTTTAGCTCCTGCAATTGCATTGCTCTTCAACAAGTCATTTGAACTCCAAACCTTTCCAGATATTCTAAAAAAAAGTGCGAGTAACCCCTGTCCACAAATGTGGTGATCTTACTGATGTTAACAACTACAGACCTATAACAATCCTACCTAACTTGTCAAAAATATTTGAAAAACTAATCTACAAGCAGCTTTACTCTTATCTAGCCAAACACAATATACTTAGCTCTTGTCAATATAGCTTCAGACCCAAAAAAAGCACTAACGGTGCACTTATTAGTATGATTAACTTGATTCATGCAGCTCTTGATAAAAATGAGTTCCCTGTTGGGTTATTTGTGGACCTGCGTAAGGCTTTTGACACTGTCAACCACCAAAACCTTCTTCTTAAATTACATCATTATGGAGTCAAAGGTCACTCCCTGCAATACCTCAAATCTTACCTTATTGACAGGCTCCAGTATGTTTCTGTGTATACCCATTAACATTGGTGTTCCTCAGGGCAGCATACTTGGCCCTCTCCTCTTTCTCATCTACATTAATGACCTTCCAAATGCCTCCCAACACCTCAAACCTATTCTATTTGCTGACGACACAACCTTCATTTACTCCAGTCCTGACCCCCTTGCTTTAAATGTCACAGTGAATACTGAGCTAAATAAAGTCCATCTTTGGCTAGCTGCCAACCAAC